TTCTTGAGGCATTTATCCACGAAATAATCTGAACTTCGATTAGAGCCCAATATTGGAATACTAATGCTCTCAATTTCAACAGTTGAATATTCAATCTCTTGACATCGAATATCGATAGAAACTAGAAGTCTTAACTGAATAACGACATATGTAACTACTAACTCTAATACAATTTGACGATAAAACATAGTTTAAATCTTGAGTATAATTTGTCGCAAAATAAATTTTTATAATTAAAACATAATTAACATAGGCTAGATCAAGTGGGTATACTTAATTACATTACCAACTCAAAGCACATAAATTGGAGAAAACTTGTACCAACACGAATTTCTTCCTTACAGGAATTTGGGAAAAACTATCGCTTTTAAAATATGAAATTTTATAAATTCCGAGGGATATTTTCCATTCTTCTCATTGTTTTATCTTTGGAAATTATGCAAGCACCATAATGACAAACAAACAAGTAAAAACTCAAACAGACTGGAGTTCATCTCTTAGTATTCCACGTGAAAAATGTGATTGCCCGTTTTTTCTGACATACACATCAAGAAAAAATAACAAGCATGTGTTGGATATCATTCAAATTAACAATGATTAGTGATTTTGGAAGTGATGGAAGTGGTTAACCATGAGAAAAACAAGCGAAAACAAATGACAATAAAAAATGGTGAATGTTAAAAAATGGCAGGCCGGGCGTGCAATTACAGTGACCATATTGTTCAACAGGGCTGGCGCCTGCCCAGTACAACAATTTACCCGTTAGGGCTTTGAATTCTTGTGTCGTTTTGAAAGGTTTCATACCCTTTTTGGTTTTATTTTTGGACCTTTACGTGCATGGTGATTGTAATTCTATATATATGAGTGATTTTCATGATTGAAATGATATCACAAATATCAAATTGATTCCATTACATCTAAAATCTAAGATCAAATCAAGTTTATATAATTTTGTTCTTTAGTTCCTTTTTCCAAGTTTTGTTTGTTTGATTCAAACTTGGATTAAGGTTTGTTTACTCCTACAAACTATTTTCCATAAATACCTTCAAGCACTTACACCAATGGAGCAAATAATCGTGTTCAAACCTTCTATTTTGGCGATTTTTGTTACTGGTTTTATTTTCGTTCTTCATCAACTTTGTTCAACAATCTCAAACGATATTTTCGACATGGAGAATGAGACAACCATGTTTACGATAAAGGTGATGAATCAAGACCTTGTGAGGCTTGACACATTCGACGGGTCGAACTTTACAAGATGGAAGGACAAGTTGAAGTTTCTTCTCACAACTTTGAAGATCTTCCACATCTTGGATTCGGTCTAGAACCATTGCCAAAACCAACCCCAAATGACATCGACAAAACAAGGGAGGAAAGGAAGAAGAGAGAAGAAGATGAATTGATATGTAGATGACACATTCTGAACGCTCTATCCAATCGCTTCTACGATCTCTACGCAAATAACACTTTTACAAAAGAAATATGGGAATTGTTGGAAACTAAATATAAGGCCGAGGAGGAAGGTGCCAAAAAGTTCCTTATTTCTAAATATTTTGATTTCAAATTTTTAGATAACTTGTCTTTATTAGGACAAGTGCATGAGTTACAAATCATTGTTAATAAAATGAAGACCATGAAGATTGATCTTCCCAAACCTTCCAAGTTGGTGCAATTATTGTGAAATTGCCATCTTCATGGAAAGGTTATAGGAAGAAAATCCTTCACAATTCCCAAGATTATTTTTTGAAAGATATTCAAAAACATCTTGGGATTGAGGAAGAGTCAATGGTACGAGATGGGGATAAACATTCTCATGAGGGCACTTCAAAAGCCCTTGCTATGGATTAACCAAACAAATACAACAAGGATTTTAAGAAGAAGAGATCTACAAATTCCAACAAAGATAACAAGAACAAGAAAAAATTCAAAGTTTCTTGTTATGTGTGTGGCAAACTCGGACATTATGCTCGGGATTGTAGACATTGTAAACAACCAATGCAAGAAGACAAAGTGAACTCCATTAATAACATCATTGCTATCGTGAACATTGTGAATTCATTCAAAGGAAATGTTCAATGATGGTGGTATGATACTTGTGCCACCATACATGTGTGCTATGATAGATCTCTTTTCAAAATCTATCAAGAAGTGGATGATGAACACATTCAAATGTGGAATGAAGTTCAATCTTGGGTTGTTGGCAAAGGAAGCATAGACTTACAATTCGTATCCGACAAGAAGATCACATTAATAAATGTATTGCATGCACCGGATATGAATAGAAATCTTATAAGTGGCGATTTGTTGGGAAAATCGGGAATAAAGTCCGCATATGAGTCAGGCAAACTTATACTTTCTTGGAATGGTGTATTTATTGGAAAAGTTTATTCTACTGATGAAATGGTCAAACTTTGTACTATTGACAATAATATCAATAAAATTACCAATTGAAACTATGTTGTTGAGTCTATTTCTTTATGTTAGCTTTTCTACTTTAAAAAGAATGATTAAAATTAGAATGATTTCATGTGAAAATATAGAACACAATAACTGTGAAATAAAATTTAAAATGATTAAGAAACATTAAGTAGACATAGATCTACTAGTGTTTTAACTGGATTATCATCGTGTATGCCTTAAATTCTTAACTATAGTGTCAACATAATGAGATTGAGATGTGACAATCCTTCAGGTGTTTCAGAGAACTAATATGACATCAGTCATACCCATAACTTTTATATCAAAATATTTTATCAATATTTTCTTGGTTGTCATAATAATTTTAGAGTTATTATCCATAATTAGTATATCATCAACATACATACAATCACATATTCATTTAGTGTGTTTTTCACATAGATACATTTGCCTCATTAATTAATTCTAAAGCAATTTGATAACTTAGTCTTGTCAATTTTTTCATGCCATTGCTTAGGCGCTTACTTTAATCCAGATGATGATTTAACAAGTTTACACTGTTTTTCCTATTTATGAGCTACAAACCCTTTAGGTTGTTTCATATTTATTTCTTCTTCCAATTCACCATTCAAAATGTCATATTTACATACATTTGATATATTTCAAGATTATGAAATGCAGTGATTGAAATCAACACTCGAATAGATATAATTCTAGTAACCAATAAATATGTGTCGAAGAAGCCAAGACCTTTCTTTTGTTTCTACCCTTTGGCAACTACTAATCTAGCCTATTATTTATCAATTGATCTATCGAATTTTAACTTCCTTTTGAAGATCCACTTACAACTTAAAAATTTATTTCTAGGTGGGAGATCAACTATCTTCCAAGTACGATTTTGCATAATGGACTCAAGTTCATTGTTGACAGCTTCTTTACAAAATGGAGCTTATGGAGTGGACATTGCCTCGATAAATGTCCTTGGTTCATTTTCTAATAAATATGTTTACAAATATTTTTGCCCTTTCACTACACCTTGATTCTTCATCATTTTGTTGATTCCCATTTGCAATATCACAAGTTCATTTTGTGAACTTACTCCTCTTCCTTTACAAGGAAAGATGTCTTAAAAAATTGCAGCATTCCTTGATTCAATTATATTACATTCATGTATATCAAGTATTTATGATTTATGAACTAGGAATCGATATGCTCTACTATTATTTGCATATCTAATAAATA